CCACCATGCCCAGCTAATTTGTTGTAGCTTTAGTAGAGACGGGGTTTCGCCGTGTTGACCAGGATGGTCTCGATCTCTTGACCTCGTGATCCACCCGCCTCGGCCTCCCGAAGTGCTGGGATTACAGGCGTGAGCCACCGCGCCTGGCCTTAGCATCTCCTTCTTAAAGAACACGGCAATAATGAACAAAACTGGACTTTAAAATATTCCAAATTCATATTTTTCTATTTGTGTTACTATTTGGGAGCTGGTCTCATTATGGTACTTAGAAATAACAGCCAGGCACAGTGGCTCAAGCCTGTAATCCCAGCATTTTGGGAGGCCAAGGCGGAAGGATCACTTGAGCCCAGCCAGGAGTTAGAGACCAGCCTGAGCAACACAGGGAGACTTCGTTTCCATGAAAAATTTAAAAATTGGTCCGGTGTGGTGGTGTGTGCCTGTACTCCCCACTACATTGGAGGTGGTAAGCCATGATCACACTGCTGCACTCCAGCCTGGGTGATAGAGCGAGACCCTGTATCAAACAAACAAACAAAGTAACGTGTAGTATAATGATGCAGTAAAAAAGTTTTTTGTTTGAACATGTGTGTTCTTTATTCAGGTTCTGTCATAAACATCTTGAGTCACTGTAACATTAAGAAAAATTAGGCCAGCCGTGATGGCTCACACCTGTAATCCCAACACTCTGGGAAGTCAAGACAGGAGGATCACTTGAGGTCAGGAGTTCGAGAAAAGCCTGGCCAACTGACACCCCATCTCTACTAAAAATACAAAAATTAGCTAGACATGTTGGTGCGTGCCTGAAGTTCCAGCTATTCAGGAGGCTGAGGCAGGTGAATAGCTTGAACCCGGGAAGTAGAGGTTGCAGTGAGCCAAGATTGCACCACTGCACTCCAGCCTGGGTGACAGAGCGAGACACCATCTCAAAAAAAAAAAAAGAAAGAAAAGAAAGAAAAATTAGACTGGGCGCCATGGCTCATGCCTGTAATCCCAGCACACTGGGAGGACTAGGCAGGCATATCACCTCAGGTCAGGAGTTTGAGACCAGCCTGGCCAACATAGTGAAACTCCGTCTCTACTAAAAATGCAAAAATTGAACCAGGCGTGGTGGTGCATGTCTGTAATCCCACCTACTAGGGAAGCTGGGACACGAAAATTGCTTGAACCCAGGAGGCAGAGGCTGCCATGATCCAAGATCAAGATAGCACTGCTGCACTCCAGCCTGGGTAACAGAGTCAGACTCTGTCTCAAAAAAAAAAAAAAAAAAATTAGTTGCTAGTATGTTTCTCAATCTGAAAGACTATGAAACATTCTGGACAAATAAATGTTATTTCCTTCATAAATGAGACTATAACAATGAATTGGGTTAAAAAAAATCATGGTAGTTGAGTCTAATTTGAAAGTATCATGCTTTCTCTAGAAGCAGCAGCTATTTTGAGTACTTTTAAATTTTTTTTTTTTTTTGAGACAGTTTCACTCTGTCACCGAGGCTGGAGTGCAGTGGCATGATCTTGGTTCACTGCAACCTCCGCCTCCAGGATTCAAGACAGCCTCCTGCCTCAGCCTCCTGAATAGTTGGAATTACAGGCACCTGCCACCACGCCTGGTTAATTTTTGTATTTTTAGTAGAGACGGGTTTTTCCCTTGTTGGCCAGGATGGTCTTGAACTCCTGACCTCAGGTGATCCACCTGCCTCGGCCTCCCAAAGTGCTGGTATTACAGGCATGAGTGCTTGCACCCGACCTCGAGTGCTTTAAAAAATTATTGCCGGGCACAGTGGCTCATGCCTGTAATCCCAGCACTTTGGGAGGCTGAGGCGAGTAGATCATAAAGTCAGGAGTTCGAGACCAGCCTGGCCAAGATGGTGAAACCCCCATCTCTACTAAAAATACAAATATTACCAAAGCACAGTGGCAGGTGCCTGTAATCCTGGCTACTTGGGAGGCTGAGGCAGGAGAATTGCTTGAACCCAGGAGGGGAGGTTGCAGTGAACCAAGATCATGCCACTGCACTCTAGCCTGGGCAACAGAGCAAAACTGTCTCAAAAAAATGTATATATATTTATTAATGCTGACCAGGCTCTGTGGCTCACTCCCTGTTGCTGTAATTCCAGCACTCTGAGAGGCCGAGGCGGGCAGGTCACTTGAACCCGGGAGTTCGAGACCAACCTGGGCAACATGGTGAAACCCCGTTTCTACAAAAAAATGCAAAAATTAGCTGGGCATGGTGGTGCACACCTGTAGTCTCAGCTAATCAGGAGGCTGAGGCATGAGAATTGCTTGAACCCGGGAGGCAGAAGTTGCAGTGCGCTGAAATCATGCCAACGTACTCCAGCCTGGGCAACAGAGTGAGATTCAGTCTCAAAACAAAGCAACAAAAAATTATTTATGGCTGCGGTTTTTCTTTTTTCTTTTCTTTTCTTTTTTCTTTTTTTTTTTTTTAAAGACAGGGTTTCTCCATGTTGGTCAGACTAGTCTCGAACTCCCAACCTCAGGTGATCTGCCTGCCTCGGCCTCCCAAAGTGCTAGGATTACAGGTGTGAGCCACCATGCCTGGCGCTGCGGTTTTTCAATTCCACTAAAGGTGGGTCAGGAGGGAAAATGCTCAAAATATAACTGAGGGATTCAAAGTACAAATCAAAGAACTTCTGGCTGGAGTAAGGATGATGAGACATGGAGACAAGTCACTAAGTGAAGGCTAAAAATCCCCATGATTATGGCAGAAATCTTTCTTTCTAAAATGGCTTAGATTTTCCTGAGAATACATGTGAATATTACTAAGCGACCCACCTCTTAAAGCCCTTTCCAGAACTCTGTGTTTCTGCAGGCTTCAGAAACTTGGTAAAATTGCTTGGTTTGTAGCAAAGGATCCAACTGCCCAGAGCAAGAAGTTTAGGAACATGCTTACCTAGGTGGCACAGCACTGCTATGAATAGGACCTGCTGGACAAGTATAACATTCTCACCACTGAAGGACCAATTACTATGAAAAAGGTGCTGACATTTGTTCTCAAATTGAAATTCATATAGTGAAGAAATAAAAGATGTGAGAAATTACATGGTGGCTCACCTGAGAGGTAGCGGTTGCAGTGAGCCAAGTTTGTACCACTGCACTCCAGCCTGGATGACAGAGCGAGACACCATCTCAAAAAAAA